TCAAGGCTACTTTTTAATACAATTGAACAAAACCATAAATAAAAATAACCTTAAGAGCTGATGGTTAATAGAAAGTTTTTGCATCAGATCCTTGAAGATTGAATTTAACTTTTATTGAAGGTAAAATCTAACATGGTTAAAGAGATGGCTCTTGGGTGGAGGTGAGAGTGGGAGGAGGAGCAACTTTTATAATAGTGAAATATGCCCCAGATAATAGAAGCATCATCATATGTAGAGTAAAACCATGAATCCAACCAAAGTATGTGTCATCTGCACTGTGGACTGAGTGACAGAGTGTATCACCATGTCACCACTGCATTTTCTCTTAGAAACAACAGATGTCCATCCCATATCAAATGTATAAATGTTGTTTTGAAAGGGCAGCTTATCCCAAGAAGAAGCAAAATGTAGTTGAAGATTGTTGTATTGTATATACCTGTACGATCCTTGATGTGATCTATAACCAAGATGGAAGCATTGGAAAGACTTTAAAGATGTTGAGTTCTGAATTTAAATCTCCACTATCTCTTGCCCCTCTTTCTCCCTCCCAAGCATGGATGGGATATGTGCTATGTGGTATGTGATGGAATATGTGCTTTGTGATGTGTGATGGGATATTGTTCGGGCACTGAGCACTGTGTTAGGTAGGTAGCAGGGCATTGAATCTCAAGCTTTCCAGCCCTACACTTTTGACTTTCTTCCTTTATTTCATGCTGTTTTCCCGGAGTCCTTGATAACTTGTCAGCTGGGCACATCCACAAACACTGACAGCAGAGATGAGAGGGGCCTTTTTCAGTTTCATTTCACCTTAGCTGTTGGAAACGTCACGGGTCAAATGGTCACAGCAGATAAGAACATTTGAGGACATTTCTAAGACAGGTTTCTTGGGATCCACAAGTTCTTTCTGGGGCACTAGAGAGCAGGGGAACTGTTTGAAAGAGCACTGGAAAATTGTTTGGGGTACATGGATAATGAGGGGAAATGCAAAACAAGCTTTCCTGGGGTGATGAGGAAGATGGGCTTCCAGTGTAGAAATCCTGTTTAGAAACAGGCATTAATGCAGTTGGAAAGGAGGACTGAAGCTATGTGGTAAGAGGTGTGAAAAGGGTAGATATTTTAGGATTGCATTCCTTTGGCTCAAGGGAATCACTGGATGCAAAGGAGATATCATCATAATGTTAAGTTGGCTATGAGGTACCCTTACTCTATAGGCAGAGGTTGGAGCAATTGAGCCCAAGGGGTTTAAAATGACACCTTTATTTTGAGTATCTTCAACAAGTCTAAGACATTACAAGGGCTCAATAATATTTGTTGAATGACTAGAAAATTTAATAGAACCTGAAGAACCTGGGCTTTAAGTCATCATAGCTGTTTACGAGCTCTGTAACATTGGGGGAGATTATCTAACTTCTCAAAACCTTTTTTTCCTCATCTGCAAAAGGAATGTGGTGATATCTTTCTTACAAGTAATTAAGAGGATTAGACAGTGAAAGAAAAGGGCTTAGAGCTGCATATATTGAATAAGTGTTAGCCATTAATAACCAGAATTGGAATTTCTTTAAATCGTAGATTATAATTTAAACTCTCAACATAGTGTAAGAAACATTGGAAGAGGAAAGGAAGGAGAAACTTCTTTAGTGTATGCTGTATCGGAGAACTTAATGTTGGAGAGACAGGATACATTTAGATAATATGTTTAAATATACATCAGTAAGATGACTTCCTGAGGTGCATGCTGACTGACATACCTAAACTTCTTCTAAACTGGTGTGTGTGTGTGTGTGTGTGTGTGTGTGTGTGTGTGTGTGTTTATGTGTGTATGTGTTTGTGTGATGTTTTAAGCATTTAAAACATCAACACGAGAAATACGTTCCAAGATGATATATGTACATCTACTAAGGTGCCTATAAGAGTGAAAAACAGATATTGTTGATTATTTAATTACTAGTGACACGAGAACACACTATAAACACTAAATAATGTTTACGGAAGGCACACTTTCTAAATTCACTATGAAAGGGTGTTTTTAAACATATGTCTGATTTCCATGTTTGAAACTTCTAGTAAATTGAATTGTTCAAATACTTCCTGTAAAATTAGTATTTTTCAAAAGGACTATGACAAACTGTTAAAATCTTTAAGATTTTGATGATTAACTCTATGCCATATGTTCCTATTCACTACGTGTGACCTTATCTTTCTGTCTCTAAGGAAACTCCTAGCCTAGTAATTTATTTCAGGATTTGCATTTGAACTGTGAACTCAATTGTCAGAAAAATGAGGGAAATTCAAGGATTTATACATGACAAGCGTACTATGGCTAAATAATGTCAAGCAACATCAAGGACATCAATATGTGACTTAGAGACATTACTAAGGATGCAAAATGTTCTGTTTGCTAGTATTATTAGAAAATCATAAAGTCTAGCAATGTTAGAAGGACTCAAGGTCGTTACAAATGTATACAAGCCATCTCCCAAGAAATAGATCAGGAGAAAAGAATAACTTAATCAAATTAGAAACACCATTAATACAATCTTTGCATTCCAAAATCTGAACATTTCTTTTTTAGTAAGTCGCAGACAATTAAGCTTTGAATATAACTTTTATTTTCTTAAACCATTCTAGTATCATTGATGGCCACGAAAATTAAAATCTGTCATGGGTTCACGAATATGATGCGATACAAACCTGTGGATAAAACTTTATCACGAATCCTTGCCAACCTGCTAGAATAGTTACTCGGGATGATGTCTTCACTCACTATCTCCGAAGGCCCAGCCCCTGGCAGTTAACATGCTGTAATCATTTTACTGGATAATATTGTTTGGGAAAAATAAACTAAGGTAGCTTAAGGAAATATTTAATGGAATGACACAAGGAACTTCTTACTGCCAGGAAAAGGCATTCCAAGAACCCTTTGAATAACAATATTCCAAGACCAAACTCAGACCTTTTGATATTTCAGACACAATCTCTAATGAGACAAATTTGGGGCCAGTTTTCAGCCCGAACTCTGACAAATAGGTTAGGTAAATAGCCTCGAAGACAATACATCTTTCTAGAAGACAGGTAAGAATAATGGTACATCAAAAGACAAAATTAGAGTAGGCAATGAAAAGATACCCTCTTAGTACCCAGCTGTACTATAACAAAGATGTTTGAAAAAGAATATTATTTACAAAATAAAAGCAGATGCCAAGATATTTTCAAATATATCACAAGAATGGAATAATTTAATCAGATATGAGAGTTTAATTTTACTTTGATGAAAAAAATGGAACTAATGGTGTATTCATTCAGCAGGATTATATTCTGACTTTAAATATTCACTCCCATCAAGTTAAATTGTATTTTTTAATTCCGAATTAGCATTTAGAACAATGCAGTTTAGAAGCAATTGACTCTGTGTAACTTGCACAGGAAAAATTGATGTAAGGATTTCATTTGAATTCCATGAAAACTGATCCACTGTGTCACAACTTCAGGTCCCAAAGGCTTTTATTCTGTAAAAGCTACGTGATTAACTCTACTTGTGTGTACAGCTCCCGAAAGAATTGAAGTGCAAAGATGTTCCTGGTAACATTAACTGGAATCTCATTAAGCTGATATATCTGCATTTACCTATTAATAAAAAACATATCATGTCTGCATATTTATGGACATTATTTCTTAGTCTAATTTAAAATTTTAAAAACATGCACACATCAGTCATTTCTTCTGTTTCTAGGTCTCCTCTGACTTGCATGCCATTTTCTGACTGCCCTTTAAACCATGGGCTATCATCTTGAGAACTCCTTCCTTTAAGAATCATTAGGATATGACAAGTAAAAGCAGATGCAAGCTGGAAATACTGTTTCATCTCAAGAGCGGAGCTGAGATAAAGGCAGTAAGACTTTCCTGAAACAACTTTTACATAAGGATAAAATGACTCCTGCATACAAGAAAACAATTACCAGCCAACATTAATAGCACCAGAAAATGGCAAGCTAGAATGAGCAATAAAAACATAGCATTCGGAGTGAGATATTAGAGAGTCGCTATTAAAATATCTTACTCAATTTCTATTACACCTTAAAATGAAAGTCATCAAAATGTCATTACAGGCCTTTTCCCCAGATTCTTTAGAGTGAATTGAATCGTTTCTGGAAATGGAGTGCTATCCAGGATTCACTTAAAATCCTCTGCAATAACAGCAAAGCAAAATACATCGTGAAATTTTTGACATCTTATATTACAACAATACGCTTATATACATACCAGGATGTATTTGTCTTCAGATGCCTACAATTAAGTATTTCTTTTGAAATTAATGACTCACAGAAAAATGCTGCCTTCCAGAAGACCTGAAGCCAGAAACCCAAGCAAAGGGAGCCAGAGCTCAGCTCTGCAAAACTGAGGTTCACAAAGCACACATACAGCAGTTGAAAAAAAAAAAAAAACTTGTGAAAAAAAAATCAATTATTTCAAAATTATTTCAAGCCACCATGTATTACTCCAGCAAGGCAGCATGGAACTTTTGAAAGCTTCTCAGCCAAGAGTTGAACAATTAAACAATAAAAGCATCTTTACCCTGGCTTTGGAAAACTAGGACCCTGTAAAGAATTTTCAAGCCAGAAGAGATCTTTGACATGCTGTAGCTCTGGCTGAAGTTTGCTAGTTCTAACAATAACATCTCCACAAAGTAAAGATTATTTTTACCGACACCCCCACCCCCACCCCCATGAGGATGGACACCAAAGCTATCAACAGCTCTGGATTCCCAAGGCTGAAAAGAAGCATAGGAGGCACCTGATTGCACTTGGTTAACAAAAGCTAGGCAGTCTTTTGCAAATGACTTAACAATACAATTTCAACTGGTTCTCTTCAAGCCTAATACGTTAAAAGAAAACTATTCAGAATTTAAATAGTCATATTTAGAAAGCAGTTTTTCCCAATGCTCTTAGTAAAAAGCACATGCAATGTTTGAAAAAAACGTTGATTTTTTTTTTTTCCTTTACCTTTCAGTTCGAGGAGGGCGTCACTTCTCCTGGATCCCATTTTCCGGAGGATAGTCAGTGCTGGCCGATTTAGAATAAAAACCATTAACATATTACTTAAAAAAAAAAAAAAACCAAACCCCAAACCTATCAAGCCGCTTTGAGAAGGTCCTAGTGGCAATACACGCCTTTCCTGATTCCCATTTCCCATCATCATCTTATTTGCTGTGTCTGTTGCCCGCAGCATCCATCAATTAGCAGTTTTTAAGGGAGCAGGACCGTACTCGGGCTCATCTGCTGAACGGGGCTGCGTTCTCCACAGCCCCTGAATCACCCAGGCTCCTTTCTAACAAGGGTCTAGAAAGCAAGCGACCCGGGTCCGTTCAGTAGCACACAAACGCTACGTTCCTGCGGATTGCCGATATCGGACCCAGCAACTTTCCCTGAAAGAGCCAGCCTGCAGTACCGATCCCTAGCACCGAGCTCGTCCGCCTGGGTTGTGCCTTAGCGCTTGGGCAAAGCGACGCTCACCGGCTCAGGGGAACTAACGCTGACTTAGTCGGTGCTGGCGAATGCGGCTACGCGCCAGGGCGGCCCCAGTTGAGAAAGAGAGGACAGCGAAGCACCCTTCCTGCCTCCCTCGGTCCACCTACCGTCTCATCATGCGCCTCACAAATGAAATGCTAATAGACGCGAGGACTGATGCCAATTTCCTGCACTTTGCTCAGCGTTTCCGCGGCCCCAACACAATAAAAGATAGCTGTTTGCGGAGAATGCCTTGTTCCATACCATTAACTCCGAACAAAACATATTTTTAGTGGGACAGCGGTGTTTACTCGTAAGAACTGATGAATTGTTCTGCACCATATATCACCCACAGACAAAGACTTTCAGCTACAGTTTTGGACATAAATCAAGGTACATGTTCCTCAATTAAAAAAAAAAAAAAAAAAGACTGCTTAAGTCCTTCAAACCACAGAGATTGAGGTCAGGCTGGCCATAGCAACCACAAGCAGAACGTGGGCTTCCAGAAGGACCTAGCAACCGATAAATGAGTTCAGATCTCTTTTCATCTCCACTGGTGTGAAAGCCAAAATTAAAAAGATTAGATCGCCCTGCACCCATCACAAAAGGTACCACAATGAAAAAGTCATTTCCAGCCTCTGAATCGTATCAAATAAATAACATTCATCCTTGCTATAATGAACAACTTTCAAAGTAAATTGAATCTCCATAGCCCGGCTTTCCCTGGCCGAACAGTATTTACATAACAATATATCACAGGAAGACCTGAAAGGATCTTGTAAATGGGGAGCTGGGGATGAAAACATCTTTAGCCCAGATCCCTGCTTTGCAGAGCCCCTCATATAAACAGTGTCTTGCACCACGAACACAAACAATGTTTTTAAACTGTGGGAAATGAAAGTTCTTAGATACCTTTTAAAATGCCTGGACTCACCCAGCGAACTACCTTTGTGGCGCAAAAATGAAGATAAAAGAATCACTTACTGCCCCGATCCACGCTCTAGACTCATTTTGTGACAAAGAATTTTCACCTGTGTGGATCCTTGTCTCTTTGTTCATACCAGCAATCTTTGATCCCACAGAGCTTTTACATGGTACTTAAAATAAAAACACATTTGCAGATTTTTCATTCATCATTTGCTATTTCCTCGAAAGTCCAAGACACCCTCTATTGTCATGACAATAATGTCTATGAAGTTTTAGGAATGTCTCCACACACAGCGTTCATCTTCAGCAGCTTAACTGAGACTGGATGTCTCCTAGTCACTAAACAATAAATTAAGGGCTGGTCTCCAAATCACATCAACTCCCCGAAACTATTGTACCCTGCATATGTTTCAAATAGCGTGTATTCAAAGTAAGACAGTCAAGGCTATGGCCAAAATATACCAACCTAATCTTAGCTCTTTGTGGAGGCTTGCATAGATATTACTATTTGAACTCCACAGGGAATCTCATTAATTTTTAAAAGTCTCTGACCTCAGTACAGTTGAGTGTAAAAATAATTACAAATTAAGAATGAAAGAACACCACTTGAATTCTGCACAACCATATGCTCCCCCTTGCACAAAATGTTACTATCGTTAAACAGATATTCCTTTTTTTTACAGATACAGATTTAAACAGCATGATAAATGTCACCACACAGGCATAAAAAGCAGCTCACCCTTCCTCCAGCCCTGCTCACACCTCACCTCCGAAGATTCTAGTAACACAAAGCCCTGTGTGAACACAGACAGGTTCCCAGGCAAGGACGGCAGAGAAGATGCCCTCTTAAATACATTTCCCTATAGAGACTTCCTTTTTCAATCACAAACGTCTTTCTCAGTCACAAAGATAGCAGAAATGCAAGAACTGCATATAAATATGTTCTTACCTAAAACTTGTTAGAAGAATGTTCTTGTCATTGTAGTCACCTCCTCCGGTTCCCTCTCTTGCCATCACGGGAATTGGCTCCTCCGATATGTTGATTACTCTGTGCCTCAGTTACAGCTGGGACACTCATCTGCCTGCATTGAACCTACGAAAGGAAATGAGAGAGGAAGGGTGGCAGAAAGAAAATGAGAGAGAGGGAGGAGGGAGGGAGAGAGAGAGAGAGAGAGAGAGAGAGAGAGAGAGAGAGAGAGAGAGAGAGAGAAGGCAACAGAGAGAGACTAACAGAGAAAGAAAGCAAGCGAGCATAACTACTGACTTGAGACTGGGAACCTAAAACCTCTAGCCAAGTGAAACCAGGACAAAAATGATCAAAGCTTTGTCCTTCATCAACACAGTCGACAGCTATTTTTTTCCCCTCCTCTAAAAAGTAGGGCTGTCATTGGGGATTCTCACCAGGAAGGCGCAGACAGAGGCAGACCTTCTCCAGAGTGCTAGCGCTGCCCAGCAGCCCGTGCAGAATACAGGTACCTATTGTTCCAGAGACAGATATGTAGCCAGCCAGTCAGCCTCTGACAGATCTCAGCAAACCAGCGAGCCTGCCTTCATTTTAACTCCTTCTTTCCTAGTGCCTTTTGCTGAGAAGCACAGGTCTTGTCATCACCCATGAGAAATAACTGGGGCTGAGGCTGGGGAAGGGGGGATGTCTCATGGCAGGGACTAAACCTGCATCTTTTACAAAGAGGGACTTTAGCTACTAGTCTTGAAATTTACATTTGATGGTAAATGTCTTCTTTTTCTGGGAAGAAATGAAGTGTTAGATGAGAAGAAGACAGTGCGTAAGAGAAAAACCTTGACATGTAACATGAACAGGGCTGTCTATTCAAAAAGGACGATGAAAATCAAGGTTATTTCAAATATCCTGACTGCGGATATATATGTCCCAGCACAGATGGGGTTTCCTAAACCAAGAGGGTCCCAGGCTTGAGCATAGGGGTAAAGCCCATTTAAGACATTCTCTATAAAAGCCAACCCCAGTAAATCTGTTTCCCTAGGGTTTGGACTCATTTTGGTCCCCCGTCTCCCCTCCCCCTTTTTAATAAGCTCTACTGTTTTCTCAAGAATCCCCCCCCCCAAATATCTCTCATCTCCAGTTCCTCACCAATGCCTAAATCATGCAAAATTACAGAAGCTTGGAGAAAAATGGCTTATCCCCCGTTCTCCTTGGTGGGCCTGAAGATCCAGACAGGACATTTGATTCTCTAAATTCCAAGACCTCAGCAGACCACACTGTGTTCTAGTTTTTACCTGTGTGTATTAATTGAGTGGTTTTCCTTCATGGGGTGCAAATGGAAGCTTTGCTCTTGGTTATATGACAATAATGGAAAATAGGGAAGAGAATGAATAAAAGAAAAGTAGCTTGTCACCGAGTTAAGACAAGGAAAGACCATGAGCCCTCTACTTTCCCTAGAATGAACGTCATACATTGTTGCCAGAATTTCCCCAAGGAAAACTGTGCATATTCTGGAATAGTAGGTACACTGTGGAGAGCAGAGAGGTTTATGAAATTCCTTTGTAAAATCCACACTCAGGCATCACTTTACAAAGCCAGAGGGTAAATACTCAGAGCAATAGAAGGAGATTTAGTCATGCATGGCTGTTAATGGTAATGAGACATGTAGAACACAGCTATGTACTGCCGAACAGCTTCTCCCAGCACTTAGGGTCTGCTTTATTTATTTTTTAAAAGCAAACTAGATTACATCAGGGTGTTTTGGAAAACTCTGCATGGGGATAGGGGGCACTAAAAAGTGTAGTGGCTCTTCTCCTAAATTCCAGCATTTTGAAACCATGTTGAGCCATGCTGCTTTAACTAGGACTCTGAGCAGTTAATATAGGCTTTAGAAACCCAGAAGCGAAAATTGCTTAACTTGGTGACATCTGAAAAAACCACCTTAGGTTCTCTACTCAGGGGACTTAGACCCAGGAAGCCAGCTGACTTCACCTGAGCAAAGAGAAAAAGTATGAATATTTTCTTACTAACACATCTAATGTTATCGTATAAGCCGAGAAGAAAACAAGAGGATGGATCTTATAGCTGATTTCTTCTCTGGGTGTAATCTGATTTTTTTCCCCTAAGCCCATTTTAGAGAATGTGTTCTCGGTTTGGTCCACAAACAACTTTGTTGTGACTATCCTAATAGCAAAATAGCAGAAGCCCATTCAATGAGTTCAAGGAAGATAGGACCTCCTACAGAAGAGCCCTGGATCTCAGCAGAGGTGACACCTATTCCAAGCTCTTAGTGCTGCCCCTAGGGCTGCAGTTGAGAAGGGACATGTAGCCTCTCACTCCTGAGCACATGAGAAGACATAGGAGTAAGGGCGTTTAATCAGAGCATCACCCAGCCCCTATCCAGACGTTATCTTTTATGCCCTCCCCCTTTGGATCTTTCTGTTCCTCTTCTGTTCTCTTCCGAAAACTAGCTTTGGTGTGCCAAACTGGTTTTAAATATTCAGCTCTTCACATGTTTGAATACGGAGAGTTCTCACAGTCAGGGTGCGCCATTTTCTGGGTGCGGGTGAAGAGGGCTATCAATATTAATGAGAGTCATATGCACAGGGAAACACACAGCAGACAAGGTATGGAGAGTGTAAGCACATAAGTGTGTCTTCTGGGCTTAAATAGGTTTCAGAATTTGTGCCGGGTACACATTTTTATATGCTTTGGAGTTTGGGAAAGATCTTAGTGTTGTTGTTGTTGTTGTTTTCCATAAAGTTACTACTAGGATGCCTGTGTCAGCCTACAATCCCTCATGTTAGCTCTAAGCTTATATTTCACAGCCACCCCAAGGTGCCAAATAAGTCCCTCCAAGTAAGAGTCCAACAGGATGTGCCAACTGTTCTTTGAAAGGAAAAACAAACTGCCATGTGCTGGGTCTGTGAAGTCTAAACACAGGAGAGTGTGGGGCCCTACCCTCCACAGCTGCCAGGGTACTCTAGGTCCTCTGATGTTAGATATTAACTCTTGGTGTCTATATAGCTTGATCTGAGAGATCCAAGATGGAGTTTGCCAGAAGAGATGTGGAAGGAAACATAATGTCTTCATTATATTAGAGAATATTCCAATGTTTTATAATCTGCCCCCCCACACACACTCAGGACATGCCACAGTCTGATTCAGTTATTCATTCACACAATAAACCCCATGCTGCTGTGACTTCTGAAGGACTCTTCAGGAATGCTTGAAGTAACTCAACTCCAGTTAAGTTAAAAATAGTCTCTCCACCAAATTAAACATTATCTAAGTTCTCCATGCAGCTATTAGATACATAGAAAATCACCTCTGTGCACAATCTACAAATGGCTTAGATTACATATTAAAATTCTAATTAAAAGTCCCTGTCTTATCTACATTGGCTGATTTGAGATTACAAAGTAAATTCTGATTTGAAGTAAAAACTTGTCAGGAATGGTGATTTCTGATGGGTGCACATTAATGGCAGGATTGTAGAGATTTTTGTAATAAAGAGAACATTAAAGCAATGAACAAATTCTGAGACTCCCTTCAGACCATGGCTACTTAGTATCCTAAGATCTCCTGTGACTTCTACTCCCCAGAACTTTGCTCTCTTGAAAGTTAGTGAACAATAGTCAGGAAAGCTAACCTTCCTTCAAGACACAAGGGGGAAGTATTGGCATAAATGACAAAGAAAATGGAAAGATAAAATAAAAAACCCAACTATGTTATTCAGAAAACATGTAATAAAGTATAAACCAAGGCATTGCAGGATTTCAGTCCCAGAATGCAATACAGGTTGGTTACCTGGGTTTCCATTTAATTCACTGTTAGATAAAAATACTGTTTCAGGGAGTTTTGTTCTAAAAGGTCATGGATAATTTAGTGGAAAATATTAGGAGGTACCTGACACCCTCCAAAGCACACAGTCTTTCTAGTAGGAGCAAAATCACACATTTCCCCCCATTATTCTTTCACTGTCCCACGATTTGAACTGCTTTGTGATTTAGCTGATCTATTCCCTGCCATACAGTTTAAATGAGATAACTACTTGGCTTTAGAAAAGCCCTGTGAGGTATTTTTATTCATCAGTTAGTAAGCAGTAGGATGCTTTGAAATAATGGCAGCACACCCTGCCTTCCTTATTCTAAAGTAGCTGCTGGAAGTCAAGTCAGTGAACACACAACCAGGGAAGAGAATGTTAATATTTTGAGTGGCAGCAATAGGAAAACATTTGCATTGTAACATGTGTAAATGAAACAATATGTTGTTCTGTGTTCCTGTAAATGTGTTTCCAAGTACTCCCAGACTTCCAGCACAATGAATAAGAAGTCAACATGAAACTGACTGATGAGAGTTGATATCCAACACAAAAGCGTTTCACAGAAGTTAAGAAACTCCCACAAGGGGATTAGTCAAGGGAAGAAAAAAAAATGGAAAAGATTTCGCTACATTTACTTTGTATCTTTGCATAATCCTTTAAAAAATAGAACATTCTAGAACAAACATTTCCTTCAGGAATTCCCATTTTGGAAGTTCTTCTTAATAGACACCCATTCATTATTCTATAGTCAGAGCTTTGAGTGAAATAGGACCAACCTGGCTTCTCCCAGAAAGAGCTTTACAGCAACTGGTGGTGTCCGGATACAGGAAGAGTCTCACAGGAAGGGCTCCAGTCTTAAGTTTCTGTCCTATGCAATCTTTCCCCATCCAAATCTTTTGCTGAAAGTCAGGATAAGGTGTCATTTATTAACATGGCAAAGCCATTACAATCTGAACTAAAATGTTATTGGACATTTCCCTAGCCACTACTGTTTAAAGAAGTCTTTAAAAAACAATTTCATTTCCTTCCACCCAGTCAAGTTTTCTCCACAGATAATTGACTTTCATTATATGCACAAAAAGCATCAGTGAAGTCAGTATGCATGAGGCATTTAAATATTTTCAAATGAAAGTATGTCTGTATTCCTGTTTGGGTGCCCAAACACACTCTCATTGGATCATTAACAGTCCTCGAAGGTAAGAGAAAGTACCCTTGGAAACTGGAAAGGCCACGCAAACAGCCGGGTTCCTCATTAGTAGAGAAAGACGTACAATAGTAAGTGAACTATTTTAAGCAAGTTGCCTACAGAGCCCTGTGTCCCTCCCTGATGATCACGCTGACTTTGGGCAGCCTCCCTCCTGGAAAAGTTCTGTCTTGTTCTTTCTTTTTTCCCTAAGTATCCTTTTAGGATTTTAGGGCTAATGTCAGGATACTCTCAAGTGTTTGCGATGCTAGTATGTGAACACTAATTGTTCATAAGAACCTTGAAACATTAGATTAGCAATGTTTATAACTGTCTAAATATAGCATGACAATATGAAATCAATCAATTACCATGTACATCATTTTCGACATTTCAATATATCCCCACTGTAGTAAAATTGCCTTAAACTTTTTAAAAAGCAACAGTTACTATTGCTTGAGAATTGAACTCATGAAATAATAATCAATTGTAAACGTTGGAGAAATAAGTATAGTAGCTGTTCAATTCCAAAACAGAATCTACTTACATGA